ACCACTGAGCTAAATCTCTGGCCCTTGAGAAGAATTTCTTTCACAAGTCTTTTTTATCCAAACCAAAAGTCTCTGACCCTTCTGTTTTCAGGTGATGAACTTGTTGGTGTGGGCTTGCTCAACCAGTATCCACAGCTTGCTGAAGAAGGCCTGGACATTGGAACTCTGCTTCACTGTTCTCCTGGCCTGGAGACACAGATCTCCACAGCAGATTATGGTGGTGCAGGAGGCAGCAACGAAAGCAGCTGCGTCCTGACGATGCCCACCACACAGAAGCAGTAGCCTATGCATCCCACATCTCAGCCCTGTCATGTACTTAATTTTTCATTTCTGTTGATAATTGTTTTACATAGGTGACAACACTGCTATTTGGTGTACATATATTCACGATTATTATCTCTTCCTCTTGGATTGTTCCATTTACAAGGTTGTAGTGACATTCCTTGTCTCTCTTAATCAGTCTTGACTTGAAATCCACTTTGTCTGCAAATAGAATAGCAGCCCATGGTATTTTTTTGGGTTCCTGTCACATGGAGTGTTGTTTTCTATCCTTTTAGTTTTAGTCTATGAATTTATTTTTGAATTAAATGTATTTCTTGTATGCAGTGTTTTGTTGGATCTTGCTTCTTGATCCATTCTTCCAGTCTGTTTCTTTTGATTGAGACACTGGATGACTGTTGAAATCATTAAGAAATGAACATGTTTCCAACATCTTGGAGTGGAAGAAGGCTCTTCTATAGCAACGTGATGGTGAAGGTCTGTGAAGCTCCAGTCTACCATCTTTAACACCCATACCCTGTTGTCATGCACTTGGGTCCAGCTAGATCCCTCGATTGGTCTCTCAGGAAGCACAGAATGAGCCTGTTTCTTCTACACTTCAAGATGTGTGCTATCAGAGAAAATTCTCATGTTCTTTTCTTCTCTGACTTAACATTTTAGTAGGGCAAGTTAAAAATCTTTTCAAAACTCTAGTCTTGTTTTTCCTGCTGACAAAGAGCAGCAGTTCTGAATGGAAGCAATTGTGCTATGTAGGAAGCATTTCAGAAACGTGAAAAGAATTTCTGGTTGTCACAGTGATTAAGGGTGCTTTTGGCATGTTGTTGTCAAGAACAGGGCTATCAAGAAAGGTTTGGGGCTGGGGATTTAGCTCAGTGGTTTTGCCGCCTGCTGCACAAGCGCAAGGACCCAAGTTCGATCCCTGGTACCAAAAAAAAAAAAAAAAGGAAAGGTTTGGATCCCACTGGAAAAAAGCAACAACAACAAAAACAAAAACAAGGAAGGCAAAGGGTGGATGGGTACAAAACTTTTACATAAGATTAGTATTGAGATGCAGTGCAATGCAGCCCAGTTCCCCCTTCCCCACCACCAGCCCAGGAATAAGTGCCAACACCTCCTGCCTCATTATCCTGGCCAGAGATTCTGGAAGTCCTGGGAAATAGAGAACAACCATATGCAGTGAAGAATATCTGCCCATCCTGCAGAAATGCCCATATCCAGGTGTGCATTTCAGGTGGGTGAAAACCTGTTCATAATTTTCTGAATCTAGAACACTATTTGCATGTGGTCATAGGATGGTTTTTAAAAAAAGTTTTAATATATGCTGAATTTTCTAGGAATCTGATTTCTTGTTAATTGAAGAAAGTTATACTTTCTTTTGTTCAGAACCCCGCTGAGAGATATTCATGGTTTCAGAATACCATGGCACAGACAGCAGTGTCCTGTGTTATATTTGTGTCTCCAAAATAAGATAAACTTTTGCAAATGGGAAGAGGATCAAGAGATGGAGGGAGGGTTAGGGAGAATGGAAAAGGGATGAAAAACCAGTTAAGATTGTGATGTACTTAGACCAATTCTGCACGATGAATGCAATCATTATGTCCTGCAAACATATATACTAATAAAAATTTCAAAATTCAAAAAGAAAACAAATATTTCATATTATTCAATTTTGGATTCTCTCTATATATTTATCTATATATCTATATCACATTAGTAGGTGTAGCTGTATTATGACTAATGAGAACATTTACATACTTCACAATATATTCATTTATTATAAATTAACTTTTATTTTTCTCTTATTAGGGCAGGCTAGTAGTTTATGGTTTTGTAAGGTACAACAGCTAGTAAATTATATTATGTATGAATTTCATTTCAAAATAGAGAGATATTAGTATTTATTGTGATGAGAGATTAAGTATAATGCTTTATAGGCTAGCTTCCTATTGCTGCTGTAACAAATTATGACAAATGTAGTAACTTAAAAAATACAAATTCATCATCTTACAGTTTTGGAGGTGAGAAGCCAGCAGTGGGGTTCACAGGGCTGAAATCAAGGTGCAGGCAGGGCGGTGCTCCCACTGGGGGTTCTGGTGACACTCCGGACCCTTGCCTAGTCCAGGTTCCAGAGGGTGCCTAAATTTCTTGTCTCATGATCCTTTCCTCCATTTTTAAGGTCAGCCACGTGGTACCTTCAAATATCTGGCTCTGACCCTACCCTCTTGTTTCCATTGTTGTATCTCCTTCTGTGACCCTGGCCCTCCTGCCTCCCTCTTACAAGGATCCCTGTGATTACATCGGTACCACAGGGATAATCCAGGATCATCTCCCCATCTCAGGGTCCTTAATTTAATCATATTTGCAAAGTCCCTTTTGTAGTGTATTAGTCCATTTTCTGATGCTATCACTGAATGTCACAGACTGCACACTTTATAAAGAGTAAATTTATTTGACTCACGGTTTTGAAGGCTGGGGATTCAAGATCAGGTGGCTGCAGCTAAAGTGCTCCTTCTTGATTGAGACTGAAATGTGGCACAGGGCACCACCTGGCAATGCAGAGCATCCTCATGCAGGTCTCTTATGAATCTGTGGTCCAGTTGGATCAGGGTCCCATCTCCCTGTCCTTATTTAACCTTAACAACTTTCCACAGACCCCGTCTCCAAACACCAAGACTGGACTGAGTTTCTACCTTCTTCATACCTCATATGGGGATTCCATGTCAACATGAGTTCTGGTAGAGACATTCAATCCACGGGCAACATAGTCACAGATCTGGGGATTTGGACCTGGGTGTCTTTGGATGGCCATGTTCCACCTACTACACTTTAATAATAAAGTAATTATTGTTCTGATAATGTTGGTGCTCATAGATATAACTGATACTTTGGGCTGGTGCTTCCTCTCTCCTTCTGGTCTCAGGGTAGGTAGATTTCTTCCAAGACTGTGGCTTGGGCTGAACATATTCCAGTCCATAGAAGAGCAAGTAAGTCCCTGCCAGGCTGAGCCACTGGTGCCCAGGGCAAGACTACAGTGGTAGGGCCTGGAGTTGCCAAGGATTGTAGATTCAGGGCATTCATTGGAAGCTAACGTGGATTGAAAAACTTTTTCCTACTGTTTATTTTCTCTTGGAAGCATGTGATGTTTACTTTTCTTGAGGTATAAAAATTAAATGTCTAAGCTGTTTTGCTTTTCAGAATTCATCTGAAGTCACTGATTCTTTAGCTCCAATGATCTACGCATTCTGACCTAAAAACCAGGATATATGCTCTTATAGTCTAAGAGTTAAGATATAAGGGTTTTTGATGTGCTTCTAAGAGTCAAAGGAATTTGAGGAGATGCAGCTTGTTTGAAGACACACTAGGTTTTCTGGCACATCCTGATAGTTTGGGGATTATAATATGACAGGATAAAGAAGCCATCGTTTAACAAGTATTTCATAAAGTGTCAAGTGCTGTGTCATGTTCTTATACATATTACCTCATTTAACTCTCGTTTCAGTCCAGGGAAGTAGAAATTGTCATCCTTGTTTTGCAAGTTCTGTCTCAAGATGGTAGTGTCAGGCTTAGAATTCAAGGTCAGGTCTGTTCAACTCAGAAAGCAGTGCTTATGAGCTACCTATCCACAAAGATCCAGGGCACAGGATGCCGGTAAATAGATATGTCTTAGCGCATTTGTACACTTAGTTTATTTGTAACATAAAACCCAGGACTGGGCAACTAATAATGAGTAAAATGTTTTTGGCTTATAGTTCTGGAGGCTGCAAAGTTCAAGATGGAGAGGCTGCATTTTTTGGGAGCCTTTTTGAAGCATCTTGGGGCAAGGGGCTCATTCTTTTATCAGTAAACCACTGCCCAAATAAGTAACCCTTGATAACGGCATTAATCCAGTCATGAGGATGCAGCCCTCTTGAGCTAAGCACCACTTAAATGTACCCCCTCTTACACTGTGCACTGGGGATTAAGTTTCCAACACATGAACTCTGGGGCATACATTTAAACCATGACAAGATGTATCGACAGTGCTACATGGAAGGTGAGCCATAGCTGCAGATCCGCAAGTGTCTTTCTTTTGATAACCAAGAAGAATGGCATTTAGTTCGATGAGAGTTTAGAACTGTGCCTCTAAAATCCTTCCGGGTGGGCCAAGGATTTAGCTCGGTTCCGGTGCTTGCCACGCAAGCGCAAGGTCCCGAAATCCCAGCACCAAAAAAAAAAAGAACCTCTAAAATCCCCCCGGGTAAGAGGAAGGACAGAGCACACTGCCAATCCCCTGGCACCAGACATGTTTCAGGGAATTTGATAGAAAGATAGAGAAAGGGTTGTTATTTTCAAAGCCCCTCTTGTCTGTATCCAGCACACTTCCATCATGAATGAAGCTAAGAACCCCTCAGACCCCATGCCTTTATGTGGGGGTGCTGTGGGAGCCCTAGTTGGGAAGGAGGAAGCCCCCTGAGAACCCAAATGGTTCGGTTACCTATATGCCAGAGAGCTCAGTTTAGTCTCTACTTCCTGCAAAGTGTCTCCGCATTGGGGAGACATTAGAGGGTACAGTAAGAGAGGCCCATCTTACTTGAAATGTGAGCCTGACAGCTGAAGGGTCCCAGAGCAGCAAATATCACCTTGCCTCTTTTCTTGGACCCCTCCAGCTGACTGCTTTTGATAGGCAGAGGCATCTGGCTGCTAAAAATATCCTACTGACCAACTGCTCAACTCATGTGGAGCCTGACTGCAGTGCAGAGCTTAGCTCATGCAGAGAGTTGCTTCTTGCAAAGGAACTTTTGTAAACATGTCAGGTCCCATCCTGGGACCACAGTAGCCTTTAGCTATTTTCTACTGTGCTGGGAGATGAAGGAGACTCTTCCCAGGTCTCTATCCTCTTCCCTATTCTATCCCTGACTCCAGGAACAGTGGTGGAGGGGGTGGTGAGGGCCCAGAGGCTGAGGGGGTGGGGAAGGGGAGGTGGACTGTCCATTTATAGTCCTGCTCTTTGGGATGCTGAAGGTGCTGAAATAGCAGCAGAGACAAGAGGCTTGGCGCAGTGTGAAGTACCCCCCGAGCTGGCTGGACAGACCCTGAGATGACGATAGGGAGCATGGAGAACGTGGAGGTCTTCACTTCCGAGGGCAAAGGCAGAGGTCTGAAGGCCACAAAGGAGTTCTGGGCTGCAGATGTCATCTTTGCCGAGCGGGCTTATTCCGCAGTGGTTTTTGACAGGTATGAAATGTGGGAGTTGCTTTCCTCTTTCCTGTTGGCTTGGCTGGTGCTAAACTCCCAAATACTTTGCTTTCACCATCATCAGGGAAATGGCACCTCTGACAACTATTTTCTTGTATAAGCAAGGAGTCATTGCCTGGGACTTGCTGAGGTCCCCCAAAGGGCCAGAAAGGTGAGCGAGGGCTTTGGGATGCTTTCTCCTAACGTCAGTCACCTTGGTTGAGACAGTGTGTTGAGGCGGAGGTGGGGTGCTGTGGGAACTTACAGAACTCTCTTTTTAGCTCTTTATGGAACATTGAAACCTATATAAATATATTAGAGGATAAAGTGTTTGCTGAGACTAATAAGTCCTGTGATTATTTAAATATATATCTTTCTAGAATGTTCTTGTGTAATTGTATTTGTCTGCACTTATTGAAATGGGTAGATGTAGTTTGTTTATTTTTTATTTTTAAAAATTTTGTTGTTGTTGTTTTTTGATACTGGGGATCGAACTCAGGACCTTGCACTTGCAAGGCAAGTGGAGTATTTTCTATTTTTATAGACTGCTTCTCAGCCTTTGAGCTAGGATCAAGTGTATTTTTTATAGAAATGACATTTTACTTCAGCTATCATTTTAGATCTTGCTCCTTTCCCCAGAAAGACATATTTTGATGTCTATCCTTGTGGAAATGACAAGATCTTTTAAATCCTCAAAGATCTCTTTCTTTTAACTACATGTAGAACTATCCATATTGATTCATATGCTATATGCATCACCACTTTTAACTGCTGGGAAGATTCCATTCTATAAATATATGACATTTATTTATCCATTAACAATAAGAGATGTTTGATAGTTCACAATTTTTATAAAATCCAACATTTCTGCAATGAAAATGCTTGCTCACGTCTACTTGTAGCCTTGCAGGATTGTTCTCTAGGGTATATGACTAGAAGAAGAATTGCTGGGCCTTAGGATATGCTGTTTTCAGTTTTAAGAGGTTTTTATCAAAGTTATATTCCCATTTCTCCACAGTCCTGTCCAAACTGGACTACAAGTCTTTAAAAAATCCTGTATGGGGATTAAAATTACAGTATTTTCTAAGTCAAAGTTGAAGTAATCTGCCTGATACTTATGTGGTCTGAGTTAACACAGTCTCAGATAATCTAGGCTTGTGATTGGCTCGCTGTTCCAGCGATCATGGGCATGGGTGCTGCTTTTCAGACATAATTTGGTTAGCATTCAAATTCTCTTGGCTTCCTCCCTACCAAGACCTCCAGGGAAAAGACAGTGAATTGGAGCACATGGTTCACCACCACCTACAGAATATCAGGAGCTGATAGTCATAGCTCTTCATTAATTTATGTCAGTGTGTGTCAGAGGTGGGGTGAGTGCAGGTAGGGAGGCAGTTAAAACACAAAAATTCACAAATACTGCAAACACTGATCTTTATTCTATCACCAAGTTACCATCTGACCTTAAAAGAACACCTCCTCCATTCGGTGTCTCCGATTCCCCCAAATCAAAGTAGCTAATCAGTTTCTCTCTCAATGTTCTGAATCCCAATGATGAGTGTAACTGTATTGTATACCTAATATGTACCAATAAACTTAATGAAAAAAAAAAGAATGTTCTGAGTGGTGTGTGGTCTCCCAGTGAAACATTCTTATTTTAGAAAATGCAGAAAGAAGAAATATATCATCACACAACGATAACCGCTCTTAACCTTTGGATCTTTTCTTCTAGCTTGTTTTAAAATAGCTTTCATAGCTGGGAGTGGTGGTACATGCCTGTAATTTCAACCCTCAGGAGGCTGAGGAGGGAGGATCACTGTGAGTTCAAGGCCAGCCTGTACTACGTAGTGAATTCAAGGCCAGCCTGAACTATATTGTGAGAGTCTGTCTCAAACAAACAAACAAAAATAGCTTTCACTCATTTGTACTACACATTTGGGACCTTAAGTTATTTTTCTTTTAATAATTTAGACATCTTCTGTGCAATTATACACTCTTCAGAGACATAGGATGTAAAGGCTGCATGTTCTTCTACTACTTGTATTAACATTTAGGCTGTATGCATGTTTTTGTTATTATAATTTATCATTCATTTGATGTAATAACTCCAAAAACTTTGCAGATAAATGCTACGTAAAATGGTAGATTATTACCACAAAGGCAATAAAAATTAGAATGCTAGGGGTGAATGATTTTTAAAATGATTGATGAGGGGGTTGTGGATGTTACTCAGTGGTAGAGTGCAACCTTAGCATCACAAGCACCACAAGACAAGACAAGACAAGACAAAAAATTGAAGAAAATGAAAAAGAGATCATTTTTAGCCATATTTTATCCAAAGCTGGGTGTGGTGACGTATGCTTAGAATCCCAGCACTTGGGAGGCTGAGGAAGGAGAATCACCATGAGTTCGAGACAAGGCAAGGATACATAGTGAGTTCAAGGCCAGCCTGAACAACATAGCAAGAACCTTTGTCAAAAAAACAAAAAAACTTCACAAAAAAATCCAACAAAACAAAGCAGCACAAAAAAACCCCCCAAAACCTCAAAATAAATACATAAAGTGAGAGTCATAACATACTCCACGCCTGGGCACTGAATGAAGTGGGTAAGGACACTGTTCACAGAGTTAGGCAGCAGAAGTGGAATCTAATCACAAGACCTTGAAGATGTCTTTCAGTCTGAGATTCTGTGGGCTGTGTGACTTCTACGGCCCACGCACAGGGCTCCAGTGAGGCAAGAGAGGAGTGCTAGGTGAATAGAAGAAGGGAACTTATTCTGGTTATTATTTTAATTCCCAGTCAAATATAAGAAATGGCACAGTAATAGTGGTTATGGCAGGATGAAGAGCCAAAATACTATTCAATTATTCCTTTTCAACAGCCCCAGATACTTGAATGTAGAATCTATCTAACCTAGAGTTTAAAAAAATTTTTTTTGAGACAGGGTCTCCCTATGTATTTCAGTCTGGTCTTATACTCACTATTTAGCCCAGGCTGGCCTCAAATTTGTGGTGATCCTCCAACCTCAGCCTCCCAAGTGCTGAGATTATAGGTGTGCACCACCACGCCCAGCTTAGCCTAGGGGTTCTTAACCTGGATGTGGATTTGTGGATTCTTGGCTAGGAACTATTAATAACTGGAAGATGGAAGTTCATGTGGGTGGGCACACATGCTTTTTATTTCTGTAAGAAAATCCATAGTTTTCATCACTTTCAAATGGTCCTAAACCCAGAAGATTGAGAACCACTGAATTTATTCAATCCTCTGGGATGAATGGGGAAACTGAGAGGTTTAGGGGGGTTAATGGGCTTTCCCAGGTCCCATGGGGTGAGGAATAGGGCAAGAGCCAGTCTCACTGTGTCCCGTCCAAGTCATCACTTTCACTGCCTGTTACCCAAAAAGTGGCCTGCTCAATTTTATTTTGTATTTTTAGTAACAATAAATAATATTTAACTTTAATAAAAGAAAGAGCATCCACTATCAGTTTTAGAACAATTGAAAGCTGATTCTGGGGCCTGAGATTGTTAGATCCAGAAACTCATAGGTAAGAAACAAGAATATACACGTGATTAAAAAAAAAAGACAAAGTGTTTATAATAATAAACCAATATATCAGTTTCCTATTGTTACTGTAACCCCAGTGACTTCAAACAACATAAATTTACTGTCATAACAGTTCCAGATGTTAGACGTCTAAACCAGGCTCAGTTTTTTTGTGTTTCTTTGTTGTCTCCAATGTCTAGCGGCTGCCCACAAGCAGAAAAAAGGCTCATGGCCCTCTTCCTGCATTTTGAAAACTTGCAATGGCCTCTTGCCCACTCTGGCCACCTGCCTCCTTTGGGTGACTCGTGATGACATTATATCTACCTGGAGAATCAGGATGCTGTTCCTATCTTAAGGTTCCTCTCCTTAATTCCATCTGCAAAATCCCTTTGTGGTGTAAGGCAACATATTGCCAGGCTGTGGGGATTACAATATGGACATTTGGGAAGCTATTATTCAGCCAACAATATACATTTTCTAGATTAATCCAATTCATCATGAAATATCAAAATATATTAAGAAGAACCAAGGTCTGTTACTGAATTTTTTTTTTTTTTTTTTTTTTTTTGGTACCAGGGCTTGAGGCACAGTACCCCTGAGCTAAATCCCCATCTGTTACTGGACTTTTAAATCTCTCTCTCTCTCTCTCTCTCTCTCTTCTGGGGATTGAACCTAGGGTCTTGATTATGCCAAGCAAGCACTGTACCACTGAGCTACAACCCTTGTCCCCCTTTTAAGTTCTTTACATAAAAATGTAACCAGTTCCTAAATGAGTCTGGTTAAGAAGTTGAAAGCATTGAGACCATAATGGTAAGTAAAATAAGTCAGATACATAACTTAAGTATTGCATGGTTTCTTACATGAGAAACTCAAAAGTATAAGTAAATCGAAGACCAAAATAAAAGACAGTAGGAAACAGGGAGATACAGTGGTATCTTGGTTCATGAACTTGATTCTTTCCATAATTCTGGTTGCAAACTGAATTGGATGTGAACCAAATCAAATCCAGGGGTTAGGTTCAAGGATGACCTTGTGGGAAATTTGATTCAGTTCTCATCCAGTTCCATCTGCGACCAGAATCATGGAGAGAACTCAGTTCGTGAACTGAGGTACCACTGTAGATCTTTTGCAAAAGGGAAGGAAATTCAGAGATGGAGGAATTGGAGGAGAAGGGAAAGTAAACAGAATTCAAGATGTTCTATGTGCCTGTACCAACTCCCTGTGATAACTGTAATCATTATTTACTGCAGACACTTATTAATAAAAGTAAAAATTAAAAAATAATTAACAATTAAAAGATAAAAGAAGTTAAAAGTGTCCAGGAGACTATCCATATATGTGTGCGGGGGCGAAAAATGAGGGGAACATGATGAAAAAGTTGAGTACTTTTAAAGAAATTAATGCCAACCAGCTTGTTTTTGAAAACAAGCAGGAGCTTCTCTAGGCCCAGTGGGGACAG